AAGACTTCCCTAACCTGGTAAAGGAAATAGACATGCAAATCCAAGAAGTGTAGAGATACCAAACAAGATAAACCCAAACAAACACACACCAAGACACATTATAATTAAAATACTAAAGGTTAAAGACAAACAGAGAATCTAAAATGCAGCAAGAGACAAGTAACTAGTTACCTACAAGGGAGTTCCCATAAGACTGTCAGCTGATTTCTCAACAGAAACTTTGAAGGCTGGAAGGGATTGGCTGGAAATATTCAAAGTGATAAAAAGCACGGACCCACAACCAAGTTTACCATTTAAAACTGAAGGGGAGATAAACAGCCTCCTAGACAAGAAAAGCTAAAGAAATCCATCACCACCAAACCAGTATTATAAGAAATGCAATAACTGCTTTAAATGTAAATGGATTAAATGCTCCAATCAAAAGACATGGGGATAAGAAAACAAGACCCATACATATGCTGTCTATTAGAGACTCACTTCATATCAAAAGACGCACACATGCTGAAAGTAAAGGGATAGAAAAAAATATTTCGTGCAAATAGATTTAAAAAGAGCTGGGATAGCAAGACTTAATCAGACAAAATAAAGTTTAAAACAAAGCCTATAATAAGAAAGAAAGAAGGATATTTCATAATAATAAAGCGGTCAATACAACAAGAAGATATAACACTTGTAAACATTTATGCACCCAATGTAGGAGCACCTAAAAACATAAAGCAAATATTAACTGACATAAAGGGAGAGAGTGACAGTAATACAGTCATAGTAGGGGACTTTAACACTCCAGTGACATCAAGGGTTAGATCTTCCAAACAGGAAATCAACAAGGAAACTAAAACCTTAAATGACATACTAGACAAGATAAATTTAGTTGATATTTTTAGAGCATTTCACCTAAAAGCAGCAGAATATACATTTTTTTCAAGTGCACATGGAAAATTTCCAAGACAGATCACATGTCAGGCCACAAAACACAGATCAATAAATTTAAGAATACTGAAATCATACCAAGCATTTTCTCCAATCATAATGGTATGAAACTAGAAATCAATTACAAGAAAAAAAAACCCCACAAACATAAGAGTCTAAGTAACATGCTAGTAAACAATAAATGGGTTAACAATGAGATCAAGGAAGATAATCGAAAGATACCTTGAGACAAATGAAAACAAAAACACAATGACCCAAAATCTATGAGACAGAGAAAAAGCGGTCCTAAGATGGAAATTCAGAGCAATACGGGCCTACCTCAAGAACAAGAAAAATATGAAATATTCTGACCTTATGCCTAACAGAGCTAGAAAAATAAGGAAGGAAATAATAAAGATCAGAGCAGAAATAAACAAAATAGAGTTTAAAAACCAATACAAAACATCAATAAAACCAAGAGCTGGTTCTTTGAAAAACAAACAAAATTAATAAATCTTTAACCAGACTCATCAAGGAAAAAGAGAATCCAAATAAATAAAATCAGAAATGAAAGTGAAGAAGTGACAACTGACACAACAAAAGAATTACAAAGAATTATAAGAAAATACTGCAGATATATGCCAACAAATTTGACAATCTGGAAGAAATGAATAAATTCCTAGAAACATACATTCTTCCAAGACTGAATCAGAAAGAAACAAAATCTGAACAGATCAATTACTACTAACAAAATTGAATCAGTAATCAAAAACCTCCCCAGAAACAAGTCCTGGACCTAATGACTTCACAAGTGAAGTCTACCAAACATTCAAAGAAGAATTAACACCTACCCTTCTCAAGCTATTCAAAAAAATTTAAGAGGATGGAAGGCTCCCAGCCTCATTTTATGAGGCCACCATTACCTTGGTTCCAAAGCCAGACTAAGACATTACAAAATAAAAATAAAAAATTATAGGCCGATACACTTAATAAACATAGATGCAAAAATCCTCAACAAAATATTTCAAACGAATTTAACAATACACATACCATAATTAAATGAGATTTTTTTCCTGGGATGCAAGGTTGGTTCAATATTCGCAAATCAATTAATATGATATGCCAAGTAAACAAAATGAAGTCTAAAAATCATATGATCATCTCAGTACATGCAGAAAAAGTATTCAACAAAATCCAGTATCCATTTATGATAAAAATTTTCAGCAAAGTGGGAATAGAGGGAACATACTTCAACATAATAAGGCCATATATGACAAACCCACAGCTAACATCATATTCAATGGGGAAAACCTAAAAGCGTTTTCTTTAAGATCAGGAACAAGACAAAGATGTCCATTTTCACCACTTGTATTCAACATAGTATTGGAAGTCCTAGCCACAGGAAGCAGACAAGAAAAAATAATGAAAGGTATCCAAATTGGAAAGGAAGAAGTAAAACTATCATTATTTGCAGATGACATGATACCATATATTTAGAACCCTAAAGAGTCCACCAAAAGAAAACTTAGCACTGATAAATGAATTCAGTAAAGTAGCAAGACACAAAATAGTATTCACAAATTAGTTGCATTTCTATACACCAATATAATGAATTATCAGAAAGAAAAATTAAGAAAACAATTCCATTTACAATTGCATCAGTAAAAATAAAACACCTAGGAATAAATTTAACCAAAGAGATAAAAGACTTATACTAGGAAAATTATGAGACATTGAAGAAAGGCACTGAAGACGATACAAACAAATGGAAGTATATACTGTGCTCACGGATAGGAAGAATTAACATCATTAAAATGTCCATACTACCCAAAGCAATCTAGACATTCAATGCAATCCCTATCAAAATACCAGCAGCATTTTTCACAGAATTAGAATAAATAATCTTAAATTTTATATGAAACAACAGAAGACCCCAAATAACCACAGCAACCTTGAGAAAAAAGAACGAAGTAAGAGGTATCAGAATACCTAATATCAAACTGTACTACAAAGCTATCATAATCAAAACAGCACGGTACTGGGATAAAAAACAGGCACATAGATCAATCAAATAGAATAAAGAGCTCAGAAATACACCCACGCCTATATTGTCAATTAATCTATAACAAAGGAGGCAAGAATTTACAATGGAGTGAAGACAGTCTCTTCAATAAATGGTGTTGGGAAAACTGGACAGACATATGCAAAGAAAATGAAACTAAATCACTTCCTTACACTGTATGTAAGAATAAACTCAAAATGGATTAAAACTTAAATGTAAGACCTAAAATTCCTAGAAGAAAACAGTAAACTCTCTGACAAGTGCTCTTAGTTTTCTGATATGTCACCTAGGGCAAGGGAAAGGGAAAAAAATAAACAAATGGGACTATATCAAACTAAAAAATTTCCACACAGCAAAGGAAACCATCAAGAAAATAGAAAGACAACGTACTGAATGAGAGGAGATATTTGCAATGATATATACAACAAGGAGTTAATATCCAAAATTTATAAAGAACTCACGCAACAAAACACTAAAAAAACTAACAACCCAACTTAAAAATGGGCAGAGGATCTGAATAGACATTTCTCCAAAAAGTCAATAGATATATAAAAAGATGTTCAACGTCACTAATCATCAGAGAAATGCAAGTTAAAACCACAATGAGATATCACCTCACACCTGTCAGAATGGCTATCATCAGTAAATCAACAAACCGCAAGGATGTGAAGAAAGGGGAACCCTTGAACACTGTTGGTGGGATTGCAAATTAGTGCAGCTGCTATGGAGAACAGTATGGAGGTTCCTCAGAAAATTAAAGATAGGACGACCTTATGACCCAACAATTCCACTTCTGGATATTTATCCAACAAAATCCAAAACACTAATTCAAAAAGATATATGCACCCCTATGTTTACTTCAGCATTATTTACAATAGCAAAGATATGGAAGCAATCTAAGTGCCCATTAATAGACAACTGGATAAAGAAGAAGTGAATGAATGAAATATTATCAGGCCATAAAAAAGAATGAAGTCTTACCATTTGCAACAACATAGATGGACCTAGAAGGTGTTATGCTAAGTGAAATAAGTCAGATAGAGAAGGGCAATTACCATATAATCTCACTTATATGTGAAATCTAAAAAACAAAATAAGTGAACAAACACAACAGAAATAGACTCATAGATGCAGGGAACAAATTGATGGTCACCAGATAACAGAGGATTGGGGGGTAGGATGAGAAATGTGAAGGGATTAAGAAGTGCAAATTGGTAGTAACAAAATAGTCATGGGATGTAAAGCATAAGAAATATAGTCAATAATATGGTAATAACTATATATAGTGCCAGGTGGGGACTAGTCAGGGGGATCACTTCATAAATTATATAAATATCTATGCTGTACACCTGAAACTAATATAAAATAATATTGAAAATCAACTGCAATTGAAAAATTAAAAAAAAGGTGGGGGTGAAGGAGAATAAGAGGTTCAAATTTCCATGTATAAAACAAGTCTTGGGGATGAATGTATAGCATAGGAAATATAGTCAATAATACTGTGATAGCATTGAATGGTTGTCAGATGGTTTCTGGACTTATCGCGATGATCATTTCTTTATGTATATAAATGTTGAATAATATGGTGTATACATGAAACTAATATAACATTGTATGTTAGCTATATTTGAATAAAAATCTTTAAAAAATAAAAAAAAATTACCAGGGCTTTAAAGAGGAAAAAAAGGATTTATGGAGAAAATAAAGCTACTGGGTAGACTATTTAAAATCTATACAACTTTGCCACCAGAGCACTAATAACACTATAGCACCCTGGTAAAATACACAAGGATAATCAAAACAACATTAAATAAATATTAAACATAGGATTTTACCTTAGACAGGTGAAACTATCTTGTTAGAAAGAGGCATAAAGAAAGGGTGAGGCATGAATCTATTCATCTACACCAGTGATCAAATAATACCCAAAACCAGAATTTGCAGCTACCAGTGTGGTTAATCCCACTTGCTCCACCTTGGACCCATGCACTCAAAATTTCCACAGAAGATGGCACCTCCAATTTCTCACCTGCTGTCTAGGTTCGTCAATCTCCTTCTCCAAATCCCCCAGCACAGTCACTACCTCCTCTCCACTCTCAGGATTGTGCTCCCACACCCAAACCTGGAGCTCCTCAGGCAAAATGGTCAGGAACTGCTCCAGCAACAACGATTCCAAGATCTGCTCTTTGGTATGTATCTCTGGGCTCAGCCACTGATGGCAAAGTTCCTGCAGTTGGTTCAGAGCCTTGCTGGGTCCAGGTGTCTCCTCATAGCAGAACGGCCTGAAACGCTGAGGAGAGAGTTCTCTGGTATGAGACAAATTCTTCTGTAGGCAGGATTCTTGATCCCAAACATGACCTTCTTCTTTAACCTTTACTTTGATAATCTCTCCTTGTTCCTCTGAAGCCTGGCCAGCCAAAGCTGGGCCATTGAGGTTGCCGCCATTCTGAATTTGAACAGCTCAGAGGAAGGCTCTCTCCAATTTGGGTCTAGTCAGATGGGTAATTTTACCTGAGGTTCCCACCTAATCTTTGGTCAGAAAGTCTTCAGTATAAAAAAAATTAAAAAATAAAACAACAACAACAAAAAAAAACACTGTTGACACAGAAAAATTACAGACGCAGTTTAAAAAAAAAAATTTGTTTACAACACAGGGCAGTTAATCAAGCAATTCTGACAAGACCAGAAATAGTACAGAACTACTCACTAAAAGGTGCAGGGTCACAAACTGAGCGACAGGTTACTTGCAAGACAGAAAACAGGTTTTCAAGGATACTTTGCTCCTAATTTAAGCGTGGTTACACAAGCCAAGCAAGGAAACCAGAGACAGGGTCGCTCAGAGTTCCCTGCAGGCCTGGCCCGCGGAGAGAGGGGCTTCTTCCACACCACAAGCTGTCAGCAGAGGAGGTCGGTCCGATTGTCGCCGCGCAGACTGACCCTTCCCCTCGACCGCAGCTTCCGCCTCGGAGGAACTCTGACCCTCTAACAAAAAGCCTGAGGAGTTGGCGTAGGGCAGCCCTCCCAGACGGAGGCGTCGGCTCCTCGAACACCCCCAACGCAAGCCACTTTTCGTTCCCGCCCGGCTGGGTGAGACGCGCAAACTTCCGGTCCGCTCTAGGATGCCCGGTGGTACAATCATCTCGGTGGTCGTGATAACGCCGGTTGGTAAACCCAAGGAGGCAAGTTCTCCGTAAACTGTACAGAGACTTAACTCCCGAGTTACTCAGTTATCTGTCATCAGTGGACAGAGTCACGATGTGAGCAGAGCTGGTATAGAGGCTGCCCTGGGCTTCCATGTCTCGGTGATAAACCGCCGTCCGCAGTCAGATTAGCGGTACTCAACGCGGCATTCTAAAGACAAAACTAGAAGAGCTTCCCAAATCAGTTAGTTTGTAGGTTCCCCTCTGAACTTTATCTAGTTAGTTTAGGGCCAATCTTTCCTTTCCAGGTCACTGTAAGTCAGATTTGAAAACGAACTGTGAAATCTAGTCCCATCTTTCCATTTTATAGATGGGGAAACCAAGATCCATAGAAAATGAGCTTCTCCCTAATCCCAGTAATAGCTATTTTTGCTCCTTCTGGTCCTATGAGTTGTGACTGTAAGTGGTGTGGGAAACTGGCCCCCAGAAAACTGACGAGAAAAATCTGACGTCTCTTCAGAGCCTAGTAAGTCACTTAAGTGTGGAGCAACCAGAAAATTCCCACCTGACACATGCTCCTTCAGGCAGCGCCAAGGCAAGGTATGTGAAGGTGCACGGAGCTGGCAGTGTTAGAGTGGATGGAGTTAACTAAAGAGAAAACGCCCTTGGCAAGAGGAAATGGCTGCTACCAGAGGTCTGAAAGTGCAGGAATCACTGCAAGTGTCACCCTTGATTCGTCTTCCTCCTCCTCATCACAGCCTTGTTTAGAACACTCAATAAATAATAGATGCCCAAGGAATATTTGTTTAATTGCTTAATGGCTCCACTTCCCTACTCTCTCTTTCCTCCTACTTCACTCATATTTTGGCATTTCTTATTTGAAAGGCTTTGAAGAATCAGATTTCTTTTGGAAATTTCTAAATCAAAAATTCTTACCCTCAGTGTCTGTGAATTGTCTTGAGTGAGTCACTAAACCCAGTGAAATTGTATATAAATTTTTTGTCTATATGCCTGAGGCATCAGATCTTCAAAGGACAGAGATGCAGCCTCCTCATTTATTTTCCTAGCCACTATGAACACATTGCGCTTATATTTGGTGGTTGTCCCCTGATCAACCGTTAAGCCTTTGCAGTCAGTGATTCTGTCTTCTACCTCTTTCATTTTCTACACAGTATGATCACGGCCATGCTGAGCACAGCAGTAGGCAGTCAACATGGAGTAAACATGATTTCTAAATCCTCTACTGAAGGACATTGACTTTTTTGGTAGATTTGCACTTTTAATTACTAAAGTGATATATACCTGTAACAAACTGTATGTATCGCAAAAGTGAGCATGGCAAAAAGTAAAAATCTCCATCCTGAAATTTATTTCACAGAAAAATTCATGCCAAGAGTTTGGTATATAGTCTTCGAACTTATTTAAAATTGAATACATAAATTCACAATTTGTGACTTATGAAAATTAGATCATGCTATATATTACAATCAAGCAAATTGTTCAGTTTTGTTTGTTTGAAACTTAAACTAAAACTGCCAAGCCAACATGTGAGTACCTACATATCCCATTTTTTTTAGTAGCTGTATATTATTTCTTTTAAATGGATGGGCATATTTTCAAGTTTTTGACATTGCAAAATATTACGATGAACATCCTTAGACATATATTTTTATTTTTTATTGTATTTCTGTAGGATGGCTTTTTAAAAGAAAAAATTGGTGAGCTAGAGGTTATTTTGTTAGATATTGCCAAACTGCCCTTCAGAGGAGTATTTATCATGTGCCTCACTAAGTGTAAGACCACTCACTTTTACAGGCTCTTTCCCAAGGCCCTGGCACTGCCTTGTATGAACATGCTTTCTTAAAATTTGCAAAAGTATATTATAATTAAAATTAGTTAAAACTGCTGCCCCTTTCTATTCCAATTTATTCTCAGATACCTTATATATGACTTGGAGTAGCCATATCTAATTTTGTAGCTATTCTTTTTCTTAAAGAGGACCCTCTAAGTTATGTAAGCTTCAGGCCTCACAAAACCTGGATCTGCTCTGCTGTTTTCCAAAAGCTAATTTATGCTCCCAACAGAAGTGCAAGAGTGTTCCAATTGTCCTGAATTACATTTTGCCTATTGTCTCTTCTTCAGCAATAACAAAGCATTAGATTTTATTATCAGATTGATCTAATTGAATCCAGACCTAACTCTTCTGGGTTAGAGCTGCCGTAGTTATCCAGGAAGTACTTAAGTAACAACTAGGATTGTGCACGTTATTTTTACATTGGTCCTATGGTGTAATGGTTAGCACTCTGGACTTTGACCACAGCCATTCAAGGTCAAATCTCCATGGGACCTCTTAAGAGAACCTTTTATATGTTCTTGAGATGGCATATGAACATGAAATAACATTCCTCTGCTTTACACATTTGTAGTCCTATGCAGCACTATTCCATTCTCCTCAGTTCAAACAGAAGAACCAAATACTTTCAAGTGGGAAGTAACGAATTCCTTCGAATTCAGCTTTCAAAGCACACAAAAAAGTTTACCAGCAAGGAGACTGACTAGAAATGGGCGTTACTCTCAGCGACCTCAGGAACTTTTCAGTGGCGGGGCGGAGAAACTCTAGCAGCGCAAGAAGTCCTGTGATGGAGACAACACTGCCTCAAAATCTCCAAGTACAACGGCCTGTCGGCGGTTCCTAAGTCTAAACCCCATCCATGCTCGGAGTTGCACTTTCTTCCCTGTGAACTTTCATATCCTGGCTCTCTTCTCACCCTTCTCAACATCTCCATTTCACCGAGACTATTCACGCTGGTATGCTTTGTAGGAACAAAGTTCTCTTTCTCACCACCTACCGCAAACTGTAAAGCCTGCCTTGGAGACTCCTCGAAAGCCAACAGCTGCGGAATGCGCGGTCCCAGCGTTCTAAGCCGTCCTAGCGCTCCAGTTGGAGAGAAACTCCGGGTGGGTCGCTGGCATTACCAATTCAATACGAATCGCCACATTTGTTGTGGGAAAAGCTCAAAGAAAAGTCTGCACGCGGTGGAGGGGCCTAAGGAGGAACAAGACCTGTGCCCCTGAAAAATGTGCAGGCAGGGAATGAGTGGAGATAAAGGTACTCAAACCTGGAAAATCTGGATAGTTCTGGGTAGACACTTATTTTGCCGTTAGAATCATGAAAGAAACGTGGACCAGAGGAAAGAGA